TGTTTATTATAAAACAGTCATTTACTCCATGGCTTTTGTCATCTGTGAGCTCTTGCTAGACGATTCATACATAAACACCAGTTTGTTGCTGTAACCTTCACCCTTAATTCATACAAAATCACCTAACCGTCGGCTTGTCTGCTGCCTAAAAAGAGAACATCCGCTGTTCATCAGTCATGGAAATAAAGTCTGACTCCTACTCCTACTTGCAGTATGTTTCCATATGGATGTTAGCATGTGATGATCCATGATGCAGACTGAGTCATTTTCTTATAACAATAGCAGATTAAGCAGCGTCTGTGTGAGTGTGTGTTATGTAGAGTTGATGGAAACAGAGCTTTTTGCTTTTCCTATCACAACCCTATAAAGCACCTACAGACTAGTGTTTTCCCCACACACGTATTTCCATTGGCACAAAAACCTAGCACACCCACACCGACTTGTTCTACTCGAAACCTAATTTTTTTGTTTTTTACCATGAATGAAAGCAGCACTATTATACATATTATGAATAAAAAGGCAAAACTAGTTGTGTATGATGTGGTTGTCTGATTCTTCCTGGCTTCACTTAATGAACAAATTAATTAGAAAGGATTGTTTTCTCACTAACAAATCAAATCAAATCAGGACCGGGACAAAAAATCAGCCGGGGAATCTCGCCCAGCCCACGTGAATTGTCAACGGGGGCTGGGCTGACAGCTGAGAAGGCTCGGTCGGTCCCCTCGGGTTTTTAGCCTGGTATTGGGCACTATCAGCAACAGCTGTTCAAAAATGGGGGCGTCTAATAATGCCCCTTTCACAAGCAGATCATTTGTATTAATGTGGACCGGAGGGAGAGGGTGACGAGCGTAAATTTCACTTTCCTTTTTTATTTCAATTACAACTTTGGTCATGAAGAATATGTTTCTCTGTTGTCCACGTTCATAAAGTATAAAACAACAGCATCAGAGCATGGTGCAGAGTCTCTAGATGAGTCCCTCGTTCTTATTAAAAATCCATGTAGTGCGTTGTATAGAACACTGTAGTTTCCATAGTTTCACCACAGCACCAGACGCACACAATGACGTCCGCTGGCGCATCATAAACACGTCAGATAGTGAAAGTGCATTCGGATTCTCTAAAGTAGCCTACCGCAGTCTCTTCTCCTAAGTCCTTTTGAATTCTCCTATCCACTATCCCTTAACCCCGTGACGTTTCACTCAGAGGTCAAGGAATAGGAGATAGGGTTAGAATTTAGGAGCTGATTTTTGGATTATCGGAACGCAACCCTGTTGCTTTGGAACAGCCCTCAATATGGCGGACCCTCCGCGTGAACGCGCAAACGGAGGGGTAGGGTGTAGGGCAGGCATGGACAAACTA